TATTTATAACAAAATTGAGACCAGAGAAAAAGTCTGCATAATCGAGAAATCCAGATAATTGAGGTTCGTCTGTACATCATCTTTTTACCTCATCAACAAAAGAAATGTGATGATATGGAATAAACTTCCACATGCATCCTCACAGAATGAAATGATGTTGACCCATGAGTATCAACTTGATTCAAAGGGAAATGTATTCATTAACTTTTTTTGAATACATACTAGGTTTTTTTTTTTCATAGGATTCTTGTTATACAGCTAAGGAAATGTAAATTTTTATTGGATTCTTGTTTTTTTTTTTTTATACACCACGACATACTGGTTATATTAATGGAAGTTGAGAATTCCTGTGAACCTAAAAATTCTATATAAATATTTTTTTACAGGTACACAAGCTTCCAGTTCAGGTATGATAATGCACACTTACATGTTATACTTAGTATGAACTGGTCACTTCTTGCTCTCTGATGGGTCATGGCCTATTAGCTTTCAAAGTACAGTAATTTTTGTTCTTTTCTTGTTCAAAATCATTTACAAAATCATTCTCTTCTAACTTAGCTGGTGTGGATATTTAGAATAGTCCATTTTACAGTTACATGCTTGGTTGCCAAGCCTCTGAACAGTAGTGAGGCTAAGGGTGACCTTGTTATGATACAAACATTGCTGTTTTTCAAATGTAAATTACTTTGTTATCATGCTAGCTAGATACTGGTCTCTATCACAATTAGGTTACCTTCGGCTTCTCTCCAAATCAAAGCCTTGGCAACTAAGTACACAACTGTAAAATGACCTATTGACAGGGAAAAATGAAAAAAAAAAAGTGATCAAAAGCTGTTAGCACCTTTGTCTTTGTTGCATTTAAACAAAAGCAAAAAAAAAGGAAGAAAATAATTTCATTTAAATGTATCAACTGTTGATTAAAGTGTTCCACTTTTCGCTATTATTGATATCATATCTACGTACAGATCTACTTAGAGGTGAAGCAAGGTAGTATAAGTTAGGTTTATCTATCTGGGTGAGCACCTTGTGCATAAAGGCAAATTATTTGATGATCCACTTTAGAAACTGAAGTTAACATGATTTTCATTAATGCCTTATTAGGTTGTTCCACACCTGATCTTGGTATGGCAAGAGATATTATTCCAAACAGTGATATCACAGCATCATCAGAAAATAATTCTGATTCATCTCCTTACTATGCACGGTTAAGCAACAGCAAAGCATGGCTTCCTGATCCCAATGATAATGATCCGTGGATAAAAGTGAACTTACAGTTTTCAAGAAATATCACTGCGATTGCCACACAAGGCTTTTCTGGCTCTTATGTCAATCGCTATTATGTAAGTTACAGTTCTGATGGAAACAAGTGGCAAAATTATACAGAGCAAGGAAAAGTTAAGGTACCAGCTGAATAATATTATATAATTCCTTTTATACCTGCCGACCTGCCTGGTTATTTTGATCTCTTCTATTTTCAGTGGGCAGGTGGGTTTCTCCTTTTTGTAATGGGGCTGCTGGGAGCTGACTGAGGAGGGGGTAAGGGGGGGGGGGGGGG